GAGGGGCACCTGGGTGGCTCAGTCGTTAAGCGTCTGCCTTCAGCTCAGGTCGTGATCCCAGGGTCCAGGGATCGAGCCCTGCATCGGGCTCCCTGCGCGCTGGGAAGCCTCCTTCTCCCTCTCCTACTACCCCCCCCCCCCCCGCTTGTGTTCCCTCTCTCTCTGTGTCTCTCTCTGTCAAATAAATAAAATCTTAAAAAAATATATATATTTACAGATGAAAGTAACTTTCTTGAAATTGTTAGACCTTTTCCAGAATTGTGCTTTTTCCATCTGTCTGATACTAAGCAGTTGTTAAAGAGTACCTGGAAGACTGTCACCTCGTTCCATGCTGTAGTTCAAGGCATATTTTTACAATTTCGAGACTCTTTAGCAAGATGCATTTTTTTTTGTGGTTTCCATCACTTCTTTTATTGATACTCATTAGAGAATAAAATTGTATTGGTTTTCTTGATGCATGACAACACACACTGTTGGTAGTGGTTGCACAAGGTTCATCATGAGCTATACTAAATACTGCAACCTCTGAATTGCTGATTTTTACACTGGTATTTCCTTTGTGGTGATGAGTGGCTCCTCTCTGAATACGTAAAGTGGTCCGTTTAGTTCGTGGTTGCATTTTAAAAATTTGTTTATGCTCTATTGGAAGACCTATTTGACACACAATTGTAAGCAGAGCCTCTTGGCAGGCTCTCACGGTTAAGAGACAAATGTAAGGAATGGGATTGGAAGTTAAAACTTTTTTGTAATGGTGATTTACTGCTTTATAGAGGGAGGGTTTTTTTCTGGGGTGGCTGCAGGGACATAACCTTTTTTTTTTTTAAGTATAATGGTATTCTGATTGTATGACCATTTTAGTGTTTTAAAATCCAGGTGTGTTACTTTTTTGGGCATTATTTAACTTAAGGACGATAGATGTAGGTGAATATTGAGTCACTGAACTATCCCCCAGTGAATTCATTACTCATGTAAGTTTCTTTCTCTCCTTTACTGTTCCTGACTGATGTGGGAAACAGCGACAGAAGAGAAATTAAATTTCCTTACTACCTACAGCTCGTTGACAAGTCCTTGAAACAGGCAGAGTGATATTCCTCTAGGGACTCAACTGCCTCAATGTTAATACTTTGCTAAGGGCAAAAGGCAATCTTAGCCTGACCCTCAGGATCCTGTAAGTCTACTTTAACATGTAAAAATTCCTTTAGAAATTTCCTTTATCTCTAAACCCCCAAGATACTTGTTGACAATCATCCCCCAAGCATATGGACCACCAATATACATCTGAAGGGTCTCATGACTCAGGTTTTATTAGACAGTAATAAATGATCTTTTCCTAACAATAGCTAGCCCCCTCAGGGTCCTGGAAACCTTGCTTCCAAAATTCCTTAGAGACTTAGGCTATCTCTAACCCCCTCCCAACTTGAAAGTATGTAATGGGCTACTCCTCGTGACCCCAGTGCAGCTCTTTCTGCCCACGGGTCCTGACCCTGTGCTTTAATAAAATCACCTTTTTGCACCAAAGATGTCTCAAGAATTCTTTCTTGGCCATATGGCTTCAAACCCTAACATTCTTTCCTTCATCACTCACCACCCCTCCTATAGAAACAATGGTTGAGTGCTTTTTCTATAGCTTTAAAAATGAATAGCCAAAAAATCCCCACTATCCTGAAAATAATGATGGCAATAGCATAATCCTTGATATTTTATAAAGCGCTTTAAACATCTTGCTTTTTTTTTTTTTTGCCCCCCTTAAAATCTTCCTTTAAGGGAATCCCATTGGAGGGAGTGATTTTAACTTGTCTACAGCCAAACTACTCAGAGGCACTCAGAGCTGTGGACTTGGAGGAGAGTAGGAGCCTTTCTTCATTGAAAATTATCACATACACAATTAGAAATGTCTTGGTAAAACTGTTGGATGAATGATGTCTGAAGTCATACTAATGAGAAATTGGGGCGGTTAATAAGTAAAGATAGAGCAAGTCACTAAGTGGAGTGCGAAATTTTAAAGTAAGGGAGAAGGTAGATGTAGAAAAGTAGAATTCATGAAGTAGTACAGTTTTGCTTGTTAAGGACATTAAGAAGTATGAAATAAGTGCAAAGCCAAGATAACTATTTTACAAATAATTTTTCAAGTTATTGGTAATCATATGGCCATGTGTTTAGGTGTACACATATTTGCTAAACTTAGGTAGATTTTTGTAAAATGTGTACTTAAGTAACCACCCTATCTACTGTGGGACAGATAGCTGTAGGTGGTTGGTTTTATGGGCAGGTGATATCTATTAGAAGCAACTGTTAAGTCATGAAAGACTAACGTATATGTACTTTGTTTTCCCAAGGAGATAGTATGCACTTTTGACTGATTTGGGGTTTAGTTTTCTGGCCAGTACAAGTAGGATCTGGGGATTCCTTGGTAATGTACCAGCTTAATGAAAATTATTCATACAAATTATATTTCTATGACTAGAGTCAAAATAACCAGTAACTAATAACTTGTGAGCTATGTAATTTATGAAGGATGCTTAGCAAGGGTCTTTAGTACATTTCCTCTTTTTATTGCATAAGACTCTGATTGTGGGGGCA